CATCCCTGGTATAAGGTTTCCTACTCGAGCAGGGGGTTAGACTAGAAGACCCCCAAGGTCCCTTCCAACTCTGTTATTCTTAATAAGCTGATCTCCGGCCTGGATATTTGGCCCCAAGGAAAGGTTCAAATCGGTAACCTCCTAACCTTGGCTCTGTAATATGCCTGTTTAGTGGGAAATTGGCCTATCCTTGCATTGCTACTTTAACGCTTGTGACAGGGTGAAAGTGAAAGTAACTGAATGACTTGTTGCTTCTAAACCCCACTTGCACTTTTACTGGTTTCCTGACCCAGAAGGTTTCTAAAATGAATGCTGAATTTTGCAAACCTGCCAAAAGGCACATTTTGTGCTTGTGTTTTATTTTATTTTTTAAACTCATTCCCACACAAGGCTTATCTTGTTTTTTCCACATATGTGCAAACTTTAACCCTTGATCTGCAGTTTCCCTTATCTGCAGCAATAGACTCGTATAAACCTGGCAGATGATCTGAAAACGGGGCCCCTGTGCAGTTCAAAAGCATTTAACAGCTTCCGGCCTCCACCCATCAAACCTGTTTTGCTCTGCCAGGGAGCTGGGAGCACCTTGAGAAGGTGCTGAGTGCTCTAAGGTCAAAATGTTCTCAAAGCCTCCTTCGCGTCCCAGAAAAATCAAGTATTTAAGGATTGGCAAAACTCTGCCCTCAGCGGATGCTCTTAATATGGTCCCCTCTCTGATGAGCCCCAACGTGGGACGAAGTTTGGCCTTGGACAATCTGGATCTGCGCTGCCTGCGGTCTGATCTAAGCACAGTACACTAAATTGTCTGCTACAACATCTTACCTGTCAACGACTTCTTCAGCTTCAAACACAACAATGAGCGGGTAAACAATAGATACAAACTCAAGGTAAACCACTCCAAACTCCAAATATGAGTTCAGCAACAGAGTGGTAAATGCCTGGAATGCTCTACCTGACTCTGTGGTTTCTTCCTCAAACCCCCACAGCTTCAACCTTAAACTCTCTACCATGGACCTCACCCCATTCCTAAGAGGTCTGTAAAGGGGGCGTGCATAAGTGCACCAGCATGCCCACCATCCCTGTCCTGCTGTCCCCATTTATCTTGTATTCATTTCTTTCTTTCATATCCATGTTTATATTTATACCTGCTGAAGGAGTATATGAATCAATATTAGCTATTTGCTTTTATTATGAATTGCCTATGTTACTATAGAATTGTTACTGATTAAACCAGTATTTGCTGTTGGCTTCTGATATGATATCCTGCTAGAAATCCTTTATTAAGAATTAACCTTTGTTATTGGCTCCTGCTTATATTGTATACTGTCAGAAATTATAATTCTTTCCTAGCTTAGCAAATTGTGACCTTAATACTGGATGGCATTACTACAAATGTTGTCTCCCTGCTGCGTCTCACAAAGCTAGGCACATTCTTGAAAACATAGAAGAAATTGTTACATGGGAATATCAGGCCCCATAGATAAATGAACCAAACTAGGGAGTTTTCCGGGCTCATAAATCCTTAAAGCATTCTGACGAAAAACCAACTTGGCAAAGCGGGAGAGGGCTGGCACCCCTTATACAAGGCTATAGGAATTCTCCACAGATAAGGTAGACAGAGACAAGAGCTTGAACAAAATAATGCTTTAAAGATCATATTGGTAACGAATCTTTGTCTCTGATTGGATAAACTTTGTTTCTATCTGCCTAAAAGGTATATAATACTCTGAGCCACTCTTGCAGGATGTAGTGATTCCTCACATGCATTGGTTTGTATGTTTTGGATATAGTTTTGTCACCCAGCTTTTGCTATGGCCATAAATAAAAGCTGATATTTTTTGCAGGCCTCATCAGAGTCTCACTCTCTTCTGCATTTCAGTGGCTCGGGAAAACTGCTGGAATTGCAAGTTATTTAGGCTGTTTCAACAAAGTTGATTAGGGACCTGGAGACTAAAACATATGAAGAATGGTTGCAGGAATTGGGTTTGTCTAGTCTAGTCAAAAGAAGGCCTAGGGATGACATGACAGTAGTGTTCCAATATTTGAGAGATTGTCACAAGGAAGAGGGGGTCAAAGCAGCCGAACACAGGATGAGAAGCAATAGATGAAATTAATCAAGGAGAGAAGCAGAAATGTCCTAACAATGAGAACAATCAACCAATAGAACAATTTGCATTTAGAAGTTGTGGGGTTGGACTAGAAGACCTCCAAGGTCCCTTCCAACTCTGTTATTCTGTATTCTTTACTGATGCAAACAAGTTCCCTTGAGGATTTCTAGTCTCTCTTCTTTCTGTGATTGTATTCATGATTGTCAGAGTTTGTTGCATAAATTCAAATCCAGAAGCACACACAGGTAACTGTTGCAGCAGGATTCATTAACTGCTTTATATACGTAATAATAGATGAATAAATGTACAATGCCAACAGGTGGTTCTACCAAGTAAACACAATTTCAAATTTCCTAATGATGACCTAATTATTTCATAATTATTGCATCAAAGTTTTAGTACAAAACCAGTGATTTATTAGGTGATCCATTAGGCAATATCTGTTCGCAGTCAATCCTGTGCTTTGATTTTTCTTCTGAATTTTACCCCTGTTCCTCCCCTCCCCCTAGTCTGCGTCATAGATCACCTTCCCCTGTAAGATGCACCCCTCCCAAGCCAGCTGCAGTAATCTGAGATCCGACATCAGCCGACAGGATGCGTGGAATGTGCTCCCCCTCTTTTCTACTATGACAACATGGGGGAGGACACACAAGGCAGGAGAGTTACAGGCAAACACAAGGAGTTAGTTTCATTTCAGCAGGCAAGCCCAGACAGACTGCTAGTTTACTTCTCAGAACAGCAGACTGCTTTCTTCTCAAGTTTCTGTTTTTATTCTCTACACAGACTCCAATCTGTTTAAGCTCCCATTGGCTGACTTAGTTGCTATGCCTACTCATTGGCTGACCTTGTTCCCATGTCTCTCCCAGTCATGAATATTCTAACAACGATGCTTCATGTCTCCACAGAATCGGAGTGTTCTGGCGAAGCTTCCTACAGTCCACTATTCTTCCATCCTTCCATCAAAGGATCCCAGGTTTTCATGGATGAATCTTGCTGCAGAGTAAGTAGAAGAGACACGTTCCATGATGGTATCGTCTTCTCCAACCGTCCCGTCAAACTTTATGAGAAAGTGACGCTGAAAATCCTACAAGATGACCAGAAGTGGCAGGGTGGTCTACGGGTGGGCTTCACCTGGAAAGACCCCTGCCTCCGGACTGGCAACCTGCCTCCGTTTGTGTGCCCAAACCTGGTCACCCAAGGGAAGACTTGTGCCTGTGTTTTACCAGATGAATATATTGAAGAAGATACCATTATCAGCTTCTGGGTGGACAGCTGGGGATGCGTCTTTTGCAGCACCAACCTTGAGGCCGAAGGGTCCTTCCTCTTCAGCGGCGTTTCGGTTGAATCCCCTCTTTGGGCAGTTGTGGACGTCTATGGAAGAACCAAAGAGGTCGAACTTCTTGGTAAGCAAGTGTAGGCCGGACCATGTGCTATGTGTGGCTTTTCTAGGGCAGAGGAAGGCCAGTGGAGTGACCAACAGCTCTGTTTTCCCTCTCTGTCTTTCCTGTCTGTCTCTGTCTCTCTTTCTATCTGTCCCTCTCTCTTTCTAACTCCCTCTCTTTCTCTCTCTCTGTATTTCTATCTCTATCTTTCCCTGTATCTTTCTATCTGTCTCTCTTTATGTCTCTGCCTCTCTCTGTGTCATTCTACCTCTTTCTATCTCTGAATCTCTCCATCTCTTTCTATCTGTCTGTCTCTCTGTGTCTGTCTCTCTATCTCTGTCTCTTTCTCTATCTCTCTTTCTTTCTTTCTTTCTTTGTGTGTGTCTGTCTCTCCATCCCCCCCCCTCTCTGTCTCCCTCCCTCTTTGAATCCCTTAAGAACTGGCTCCCTTAGCGACAAAACATTTGGGTTCAATTGTGCTTGTAAGTTGAGGGCTCCCCGCAGGATAGGACTTATCTTCCCCTCTGGGGAACAAAAGTTCCATGTTGTCATTATGTGATAATGATGCACACGCCATCAGTAAGTCTTGTTGGCTTTAAGCAGGGGTGTGAGGCAAAAAAGGAGCCTCTAGGAGTAAAAGTCCCCAAGTCTTAAACTTGCCAAGGTGGGCTGGACACCCCTGCTTTAAACTTTCCTGCAAAATATTTTTTTCCGGAAAAGTTTTTTTATTTTTTGTTCTCTATATACAATTATAGGGATACATCCCCTTAGCTACAATATTATTCTTTTTTACATTCATCATTCTTATACATTTATCATTAGGGTTATACGTAACATACTACTTAGGTTGCTTTGTTTACTATCCCTCGCCTGTTTTGACACCTCCTTCATTTCCCTTTCTTTTTTCCCTCCCTCCCTTCTCTACTTTCTTCCTTCCCCTCTCCTTTCCCTTCCTTCCTCCCTTTTCTCTCTCCAACTCCTCTCTTCCTCTTCCCCTTCCTGCCCTCTCTCCTTCTCTCATCCCTTTCATCTTCCTCTCCTTACCTCTATCTTCCTTCCCTCCTCTTCCCTTCATCTCCTCCTCTCTTCCTTTCTCTTTTCTATTGTTATCAGTGTCTCTTCCAGCTCTTAATTTTTATCCGCAAAATATTTATCACGCCTCTACAGATCCCACTTGTTTGGAGTTCCAGGAAAAAGCTGAAGAAAACACTACAGAAGATTGCATGGTCTGTTTTGCGTCCCCAGCCAGTACCATGATGTTCCCTTGCTATCACTCTGGCTTCTGCTCCAGATGCTCCTTGAAGATTTTCAGAACCAGCGCCCGCTGCCCTCTCTGTCGGGAGAAGGTGAAAAAAATCCTCTGGATCTCTCTTTTGGCGGAGAACAAGGGACTGCACAGCTGGTTGGGAAAATCAGAGTGTGTCCCTTCCCTGAGGTGACAAAACATGCACGGTTGCAGAGCTCCTGAAATACGTCCATCCCAGTAGGAAAAGGGCAGGGATTGGAAAGGCGAAGAAAGCAATCGGAAAAAGCCAAAATAATAATAAAAATAAAAAAGCAGTGTTTGCTTAGAAAGGACAAAGGCGACGCATGAGGTTGCTAGTTGGAGGAGCTGAATTGCTGGAACCGCTGGAGATGCACAAAAGCTACAGGTTAGGATAAGGTCAGACCTGTGTGTGTATGTGTGTGTGTGTATGTACATGAATATGTATATGTACACACACACACACACACACACACACACACACACGTTGTTTGCCAATAAATGAAGGGAAGCAGTATGCTCCCTCCCTTATTTGGGCATACCAAGTGATTTGACAATTAACAATTAAATGATTTGACAATCACTTAATCATTCCCCTGACTAAGCTGATAAGGGAGGAGAGCTTGTGGCTTAGAGGTTAATATAAAACTGCCTAACATATAAAAATATCCCCCCTTTGTATCCCAGTAAGGGTATGGCTAGCTGATGAGAGGTAAATAGCTTGAAATAGATCTATACTTGTCTCCCTTCATTTATTTATCAGCAAAAATGCAGGGAAGCAGTAGGCTCCTTCCCATATTTGGGCATACCAGGTGCTTTGACAAATATCTCTCTCCCTCTCGCGTTCCCTCCCTCTCTCTCTCTCTCTCTCTCCAGGGAAAAAGGGGGGATCTGACCAGGCTTGTAATTAAACAGCATTGCAAGAACGGATGGTCGAAATTCCAAACTTAAAGAGTCACTGGCGGGAGGGAAGAGACATCGAGAGAAGAATCTTCCTCCAGAGGAAAAAAAACAAAAACCCCTCTTATTGTTTCTCCTGCTTGGTGGGATGGGAACTCCACCCTCCTTGCAGGAAACATCTGGAGATTTGGGTCTTCGAGAGCAAAGACAAAGGGATGATTTCCATTGATTTGTTGTTTCAAAATCAGAATCAAACCATCTCAAAGTTGGCAGGGCCTATATGTTGAGTGAACCATGTTCAAAGTTAAGAGAGTGAGAGAGACGGAGGAGGGGAGGGAGGGAAAGAAAAAGAAAGAGGGAGAAAGAGAGAAGAAAGAAATGAAAGAGAAAGAGGAAGAGGAAGAAAGAGGGAGAAAGAGAAAGAAAGGAAGAAGTAAAAGAATGGGAGAAAGAAAAAGAGAAAGAAAGGGAGAGAAGAAAGGAGGGAGAGAGAGGAAAAGAAAGAAAGAGGGAGAAAGAGAAAGAGAAAGAAAGGAGGCAAAGAAAGGGAGAGAGAAAGAAAGAGAAGAAAGGAGGAAGAAAGAAAGAGGGAAAGAAAGGATCTTTTGCAATCTTAGATGATCAAGTTTTGGCAGAGGTTTCTTCATCAGAGCTGCTGTGTTGATTGAACATCTGTTGGATGATGAAGGTTGCAAAATTAGCTTTCTGGTCTTTCCAGGACCTTTCAGGCACAATGATGAGTAATCCACCCCTCCATTTAATGGCTGCGTCACAGCATGTTAAGAACAAATTAGTCCTGGGTCAGTGTGAAAATCAAAGCTTGCTCAGAAGGACAAAGGAGAAGATCTCTCACATTCTCACATTTTGGGATTTTTTTTTAAAAAAAAATCATTTATTAAACTTAAAACAGTTTCATCTCCAGCAGGATACAGATTTCTCAAGAGGCTTGGGGGGGAGGGCGGGTACATGCTGGGATCCCATCCTGCCTCAGAAGAAAAATGAATGACAAATGCCATTGAATTGGCTTTCAATCTGCTCTTAAAACCCAGTGTCATCATGCTCTAAAGAATTAAGGATAGAAACAATTGGAAATGTAAAGTATTTTATATCACGTTTTCTAAATGGCAAGAATTCAACCTGTAATGTTTCTGTTAATATTGTTGTTGCGTTTTTTTGTACTTGTTTCTTTTGTAAAAAACTGTAAATTTTATAAATAATTTGTAATAAATCATCAAGATACTAGCCTCCTGGATCCTGTTTTCCTTTAAAAAATGATATTTACAGGCATAAAGAGGTGATGGTTGAAGGTGCGTAACAGGAAATGTGGAAAGAAAGAAAGAAAAAATTCAAAGAACCAGTTTCTTTAGCAGCCCAGTTCTAACAAGGGCAATCCAGTTGGAGGAAATTGCTAGGCAGGATGTGATGGCAACACTTTTTGACAGCTAATATTGCATTGTTGAAAGAATCTGCTTGAAAAGAGCTGATCTTTTCTGGGTGATCCAGATTAAAAGATGCAGAAGAGCAAACCTGCCTCCTTTTTGCTGTCCTAATCATCCCGTATATGTCCAAAACCTTCTTTTTCCTTCCCACTAACCACAAGTAAGAAGGATCCCCAAATTATATCTGTATATATAAAAGCGAAACACCACTCAGGCATCATCATGAAATCTCCAGAATCGTAAAGCCTACAAACTTGAAATTTAGCACGTATGTTTCTCTTGGCTTCTAGGTGCTCACTAAGAAAGGATTTTTCAAAATGTCCATCAGATCATTAGTATTTCTTATAAAGTAATCAACACGCTCTGATGCTAAGGAGTTAGATGTTCTACTCCCCCTCCCCACCTTAAAAGATCTCTGTTTCAACTGCCCCTTGGGTATGGGTGTGACCAGCACATGACTCATCCGGCCTGCGGGCTGGGAGTTTAGACATTCTATTCCCCCTCCCCACCTCAAAAACGCTTTGATGCGTGGGGGGCGGAGCCTGGATGCCGTGACGAGACAACATGCGATCTCAAAGCTCTGAGATCACACTTGATACTTTTATTGCTGGGGTGTTCCAATGGACTTAAATCATCCCGAAGAGATGATGAACAGGAAGATTACATCTTGCTGATCTCGGGGATATCGCAAAATCTCCGAGAAAAGCAGGTCTAAAGTCTTCTGCTGGCAGTAAAAATTCCAGTCTTTCAAGGCTGACAAACTCAGGGCAATATGGGGGAGAAGTGCTAAGCTGGTAAGAAACTTTTATTGTTTTTTTATTAAAAAACGGACTGCCTAAAAATTTTTAAAACNAATTCCATCTGCCGGCCAGTGTCGACTGGCAACTCCCTGGGGGAGGACCTTCTCTGTGGCTGCTCCGGCCCTCTGGAATGATCTCCCCGTTGAGATCCGGACTCTTACCACCCTTCCGGCTTTCCACAAAGCAACTAAGACGTGGCTGTTCCGGCAGGCCTGGGGCTATTGAATTTTTCAGCCCCATCCAAGGTTATGACTGTTGCTGTATTTTTAAATTGCTGGTCTTTTTATTTTTATTTTGTACCCCCTTCCGTTTCTGATTGTTAGCCGCCCTGAGTCTCCCGGGAATAGGGCGGCGCACAAACTGAATAAATCTAATCTAATCTAATCTGTTCCGGCATGCCTGGGGCTGTTGAGCAATATCCAGCCCCACTTAGACGGAATGGGTGATGTGGAATTTTATTAATTGTATTTTTTATTTTATATTTTTTAAATGCTTCTTTTATCTGCCTATAAGCCGCCCATAGTCCCAAGGGATTGGGCGGCATACACATTTTATTAAACTAAACTAATTAAACTAATTATTGGAATACTTCTAGAATATTCACTGGTAGTCCTTTTTTTTTCTAGACTAGCCATACGCAATTCTTGCAACTGTTCTTCATATGTTTTAATCAAAAGTTGCTCTTTTCTATCCACTCTTTCCAAAGTCTCAACATCTTTTTTGTAACTTGGTGACCAAAATTGGATGCCGTATTCCAGGTGTGGCCTTACTAGACTTTTATAAAGATCTATTGATATCAATGTACAGTCTCACTTCCCATCTTACTACTTGAACAACTGGTTTGCTAATTAAAGACTATTTTTTTCTAAAAAACTGGTAACATTATTTAAGCATTGAACCCTCCGTGAATGAATTCCCAGGAATTGTTTGTTTGTCACATTTGGGATGAGAAAGCTTATTCCAGATGGTTATTTCTGCAGAAAGAAAAGCCTCACGCTTGGGATAGAGGTGCAAATCAAGCACCCCGAATAAAAATTGGCTCAGAGATTAATACAAAAAACATTCTTTGTACAACTTGCCGATCCATCTACAAGATCACTATTCACATTCAGTTGACTACATCTGTCATTCTTGGTGCAGGATTAAAATTTATCATTATTAGTAGATTATATTTGTCATATTGTTAGCGGTCCAGTAGCATAGAGGTGGAGCAAATGCCTCATAATCAGGAGGCTGGGATTTTGATCCTAGGTATTTCTCTCTCTGGGCAGACTGAGAATATATCTGCTGAAGAAAACTCAGCATTGGTGACAGGAAGGCCATCTGGCCAGTCAATACTCCGCTCCATTCAGCTGCCCAGACTCCATCCCTCAAGCGGTCGTTAAAAGAGGATGCTGATTTGTCATATAATCCTATTGTTAATCATACTGTCAGAGGTTTCCTGCTTCACACTGTGGCTAGTTTTGCAAGGAAACTTGCAGGATCTAGTACATAACTTAATACATTTTAACTCTGGGTGTTTATATAATGTGGTCAATTCCTGGCTGACTCATTGTCGAAGGCTTTATTTTACATTCTTAAGCCATCATCAAGCTCTCAACAAACCCTCGGTGATGGATGCCGTGACATGACGAGGTGTGATCTCAAAGCTCTGAGATCGCACTCGATACTTTTATTGCTGGGGGGTTCCTACAGACCTAAATCATCCCGAAGAGATGGTGAACAGGAAGATTACATCTTGCTGATCTCGGAGATGTCGCAAAATCTCTGAGAAAAGCAGGTGTAAAGTGTTCTGCTGGCAGTAAAAGTTTCAGTCTTTCAAGGCTGACAAAGTCAGGGCAATATGGAGATGAAGTGTTAAGCTGGTAAGAAAATTTTATTGTTTTTTTAAAAAATGGACTGCCTAAAAAAATCTTACAATAACTTAAATCAAAGAATAGAAGAACTTAGCGGTGATTTTGATCTTTCTAATGGTTCTGGACAGTGGTTATCATACTTTTTAAACGTTATTTACATGGACTGATTCTAAGTAAACCTTTTCAAATGGATGGATTACTCTAACATTTCGTCTGATTCTCTGTAAGCTACAAATTGACTACAAATTGACTCTTTACATCTTGACACATTTATTGCTTGGCTGTTCTGGCTTAAGATCTGATAAGATTGTGCAGCTGTTCCTCTGAAGTTTGTTTTCGCTTGCGAGTGTTTCAGTTTGCTGAGTTTTTAAGAAAAAATGCAACTGCGTATAAACATGGCGTCTCTTCAAGCGTCTCTCCAAGCGATACTTTCAGCTTTGAAGAGGGTGTTTGATACAGAGGAAATAATTGAAAGAAAATTGGATTATTTGGTGTACTTGGCAACAAATTGTGATGAAAAAACTGAGGATGTTCATCAAATACAAAATAAGAAGATGGAAATTCAAAAAATTGAAATGGAAGACGGATATAAAGAATTTGAGCTTATTGATATTCGTGGGAATTGGTTTATTTCTGAGGGAGGAAAGAATGGAATATTTGAAGAAGAGTTAAATGGAGAGAAAATTTACTTC